TTCCTGAGTGTCTGGAACACACTATAAACACACTGGTGCTACCAAAAATATCAAGTGATTTCTGGCTAATTTATTCTAAAGCCTTATGCAACATATTTCATATCAGTCTGCTTATTCATCTTAAACTCGAAATAAAGAAATCTGATCTCTCCCGGTTTTACTAGAAGTATTCTGGCTTAAAGGAATTTCATTTGCAAGAGCTCTTCTGGAATAAAGAGGACAGAAGTTAAGCTCCTGAGGAAAGAAGATCGAGGAAAATAATTTGTGGTATTTGAGAGACAGTCTACAAGCTCATTTCCTCCCTATTTTAGTCCCATTTTTGAGATTTTTTTAAGGCAATGTTTTTTTCATTAATCCTGGAATCTAGACAAGACTCTTTATCTATTTCACCAAGTATACAATGTGTACCTGAATTCTGTACAAACTTCAAACTAAAATCAAAGTCAGCCTTTTCCATTTYAGATAAAACACAGTCTAGGGATAAATCACTCAGTGGAACAGACAAGATGTCTAATGCACCCACAGCTCCTCCAAAAACTGCCTGTCAAAATTCCAGAAGGGCTAATTCTTTCTGTCCCGACAAAAGAGTATTAGACAGCTGGTTTTGTGATACCTTTCTGAAGAACCATCMCCAAAAAAGAAGTGGTATGGTGCTCATTCTTACCTCCTCATATGCAGGTCAGAGTAGGGCTGCATTCCTTTACTGGGGTTTGGATGTTAGGGTTTGTCTTGATTTTTCCTTTGGGGGAGTTTCAACCCTACTGAATAATGCCCTCAGACTTCAGTTTATATTTTCAGTTAACTAGCCCAGTAGGGGAGGTACCTCAGGAGAGTTCCCGTCCCAAAGGGCTCAGGCCAGGTCAGCTCAGAGACCAGAGCTCTGAGGAGCAAGACCAACCAARGCCCTGGTTGTGTTCTGACACAGGCTGATAAAGTTCAAGGCATGATGATTGTTATCTTGGAGGGCAGAAGCAAAGGGATTTCCTCCTCTGGGCCAGCTTTTGAGTGAGAAATTGAAAATGCCTATACAGAGACTCGATTTAGACATTCATTTTTACATTTACTATGCTCTAGAATTGCATCACATTTTGAAACTCTACATAACTGTRTCCACTGAAAACATAATTACTCACCTGTTATGACAATGTAATCTTTCCTTCTCACTCACTCCATAAAGTTTGTTCACAAACCAAAATGAGGAAACTCAAATTTCTCATATGCAGAAGTAAATAAGCAAGATCATGATCTTTAAAAAGCTTGGGAAGCTGGATTTTTTTCAAWTACTAAGGGCTACCTCAGATTGTAGCCAAATGCAGTAATATAAAGGTGAATTGCCATTAAAAAATTAGCACTCCATCTCACACATACACTCATACTAAAATTGCCTGTAACAGGAGACATGAGAACGAAGATTCGTTAATTTTACTCATCTTAGATTAAATTACGGAGGGACCAATGTATTTTAGCAACTCTCCTWGAATTTCAGAAGAGGAAAACAACCACAACTGTAGCTGGCCAACGCACCCGTCACTACAAAGATGCAAAATTCTTCCACTTATTTAGCACCATGAACAACATCAGAACATTGCTTCTTAAAACCCAAGGGACATTAACAGCCCCAGAAAAGCACTGAATAAGCACTCCAAACCATGGCAGTTTAAGCCCTTCTCACCTCATTAATTTTGACTTAAATTTTCCATGTGCAAAAGGCAAGTGTCAGCTTGACTACTTTAGAAAATAAATACTCCTGGGCTAAATTTGACAGGAATATTCACACAACTACTACCAGTTACCTAGGTACTGGATCAGTTTATAGCTTAGCAGCTCCCCCACTTTGTTAAAGCCCAAACAATTGCATTTAACAATTAGTTAATGCGAGTTCACTTTCAATACAGGTCTAGTGTTCCTCAAACAAGCCAGCCCCCTATCCCTTTGATAAGCAGGTTCCATTATGTTATCCATCTGATGTTAATCTCTTATTGCTCCAATGTATTAAATCAAGCTTGAGCCCCAGACTAAACTGATGRGAGACTCAGGAGCTGCTCTCTTGCAGTCTCTGCCTGGTCTTACTTCACACTGCAGCTGTCAAACACATAATCAAAGTAAAAAGTCATCTGGAATGAAGGCTTACTGTTTGCAATGGAGTTTCTGTTACTGGAAGTAGAGAGCAATGTTTAGGAGGGTTTTCTGCAGTAGCCAATTTCTTCTAGTCCAGAGAGTATTGAGCACAGGGCTGCCTGTACTCTCCATTCTATTACAAAAACCTAATCCCATCGCATGACCTGCAGCAATTCAGTTTAACAAATCAACAATTACAAATATTTTGGCAAAGTAAGCTTAGGTATTGTTTGCCTCTCGGCACAGTTCACAACCAGTTTATGGCTTTATGATAAAAGTCATTAAATCCAATCTGAAAAGCAGAATTTACAGCTCACTTAGCAAGTCAGGCCCATAAATGGATGCTTTCAATTACAGGGCATTTACATGCACAACCATTAAGGCAGCATTGAATACATTTGAAAACTCTGGAATACTTTTTACAATAATTAAAACTTTGCGTACTGTTCTTTATACAAACAAAACTTAGGAATTCGCTTCAGTCTCAAGCAGAGCTCAGATTCATTGTTACCCAGAACTTACTACGAAGCCTGTTCCCCCAGTACTTTTGTGGGAAAGGGATTAGAGAGATGGAAACAAGGCTTGYTTTTTAAAGTTGCTCTCAGTAGCAGGGATTTTTTTTTTTTTTGAGCTCCAATAAACTCAATTATATCAACTGGTGCTCAAGACTTCTGAAAGATCTAGAGAAACAGGAAGATGGAGGAGGACCCAGGCAGAGCCTTTCATTTGCAGATTTTCTGTGCAATTCCAGCWTATTTGATTTTGTTGGTGAATCTAGCTGCTGGATGGAAGAAAATAAGAGAACAGTTCAGAGACTATTTTTTTAACCTCTTATTTTCAATTGTGCTGTTTCTTTTACCATCAAAGAGAATCTCAGGAAAGCTGATGAATTATTCTCCAAGATTCTATCATACAAGTCCAGCTTCTTGAATAAAAAGAAAATTGGATCTTCAAACACTTACGTCCCTTTTGGTGGCTGTTGGTGTATCTGACCCACACAACTGCAGAACAACAATCAGCTGCTAGGTTATTCTTTCCAACATACCAAAATGCAGTTCAGTATGTGCTCCGGCTCATCTTTAAGTGGAATCCAGCTTAAACAAGACCCTCCCCTTCCTCTTCTTAAAGGCATTTGTAACTAATGTTATCTTTCATCATGATAGTGCTAAGCAAAGGGGGGGAGGGACTTCACAAACACCCCTTTTACTTACATTGTCATCCCCCTCGAATTCACTGGAGCTTGTAAATGTTAGAAGTTTGAAAGCTACAGCTCAGAACAACCCACTCACGCACCAACACCTCGACAAAACAYGAGAAAGTCTAAACAACAAACCTCGCTCTGCTGGCCTCTCACCTCAACCAGAGGGTATTTCTTTTTCACCCTGGAGAACAGAGTGAGRGCTAATCAGTCCCTCACTACAGAGACCAACCCCTACAGAACTAATGTCATGAATCAGTCTGAAAGTACAGCTCTCCAGGCTAAGAAAGAACTCTTGAGAAAAGACAAACCTGCTGTTACCTGCGGTCTCCTAACAAGCCTTTATTATAAACCTCTCACTACCAATGGAATCTCACTCGTTTAYACCCATGGACTGTGGCAGCATGAGCTCCACACACAATATACACAGGTTGCAGTTTTTCAGTGATACTTGTTTTGGAAAACCCGGTAAACAAAACGTTTTCCTAACGCCAACCAGCTTGCAAAGCATTTGAAAATAGCAGAACACACGTGTTGGGTTTTTTCCAGTCAGAAATTGTGACGGACAACCAAAAAGACACAAGACCAGCCTGCAGCCTGAATCCCAGCTGTTCAACAGCTCTCCACAATCATCACAAGAGCTCTTCACTCATTCACACACTTTTTTCCGTTCTTTTATTTCCCCAGAGTGAAGACTAAAAGACCACGCTGTATTGCACTTCTCTTCCCCTCCACTCTCCACAAAAAAAAAAAAAAAAAAAATCAAACCACCAAACTACAAACAGGAACTCCACAACTCTGCAGCAACAGCACCAACCACTTGCAGTTATCACGACACAGCTTCCCCCGTGCACTTATGGAGACAGATGAGACACCAGGTTATGTTTGTTTACAAACAACAGGCACGGATGGAGGAGCTACAGCCACTCTGGGGAACCTGTGTCAGTGCCTCACCGCCCTCATAGGGAGGAATTCCTCCCCAGTATCCCACCTACCCCTGCCCTCTGACAACACACAGGTTGCAGCAGTATTAAAGCCGTGAATAGAACCTCTAATCTCAAGTCCTGTCTCAGGGGGGTTGTGTGTATTTTACATCCGCGGCTCTAAASACAAGGAAAGCGGACAGACAAAAGGGTGAGGCAAAACCTCGCAATCCCAAACACAAACTCCTAGCTCCAAACACCCCAYATCGCTGCTAACTTTCTCCTGCAAAACTCCGCGGAGCTTCGCACACCTAACCCTAAGTGCACGTCCAGGAGACACACAGGAGTGTCCTGTGCAGGGCTAAGACTGGACGCGATGATCCTCACGGGTCCCTTCCAGCTCGGCGTGTTCTACGGACCCCTGCAAGGAAAACACACCGGGCACGGAGGGAGGGAGCAGGGAAGAAAAAAAGGAGCAGCACAACTTCTTTATTCCCCCCTCCCCTCACCCACACAGAAACACACACACACACACACGGGCGGCACATCGCGGCCCTCCCAGCCCAGCCGGTGGGTTAACCCGGCGGGAGCGGGATAACCCAGCCCGGGTCCCACCATAACAAAAGGGGCGAGGGCGTGGGGAGGCGCCCCCGGCCCCGCCGGGACCAGGCCCGGACGGTTCTCCACGGCCCGCGCAGCGCCAGTCGGGCGACCCTGCCCGTGGGGCAGGGASCCTGGACCCGGCATCCACCAGCACCTACCGGGAGCCACCAGGATCCGCCGAGAGCCACCGCTCCTTCCTCTCCTTCTTCCTCCTCTCCCCTCCCTTCTCCTCCTCCGTCTCCCCGAGTGCAGTGCGGCCGCCGCCTCTTCCCTCAGCGTTACCTCCTCTGAGGGCCCGCCTCCCGCACTGCCCCGCCCCCGCCGCTGGGCTGGGACGCCGCCCATTGGTCAGCCTTATCCTCGCTCTCAAGGRTCGCGTGGTGATTGGCTCAAGGGTATGATTGGCGGTTGGAACRACCAATGAAGAGCCGGCRGCGTTGGAAAAGGTATAAGGGAAGGGGTGTGGAAGAAACAGGCGTGAGGCGAAGGGAGGYGGGTCGAGGTCACGGCTGTGATTGGTCGAGCCGGCTGCCAATCACAGCCCCGCGCGCCCGCCGCGGGAGGTTGGTCGGGAGGAGCGGAGGTTTGGGTGAGCTGCACCGGCGCARCCGCAGTGCGGCGCCGTGGCTCCGTATCCTTCCGCGGCCGTTTCGGTGCGAACCGAGAAAAAGTGCCTGGATTCCCGGCGGGAATTCCCGCTGAGCACCAGGTGGGGTCTGCCCGGGGGGGGAATGGTATACCTGACTTGTACCGGCGATAGTGTGACACCATGACCAGGRCAACGACCGCCCCCCTGTGCTGGTACTGCTGAGGCACCTCCAGTGCTGGGGACAGCTCTGAGCCCCTCAGGACAGGAGGGACATTGAGGGGCTGGAGCGTGTCCAGGGCAGGGAACGGAGCTGGGGAAGGGTCTGGAGCCCCAGGAGCGGCTGAGGGAGCTGGGAAAGGGGCTCAGCCTGGAGCAAAGGAGGCTCTGGGGGGACCTTGTGGCTCTGCACAACTCCCTGACAGGAGGGGACAGCCGGGGGGGTCGGGCTCTGCTCCAGGGAACAGGGACAGGAGGAGAGGGAACAGCTTTAGGTGAGGTTCAGGTTGGGTATAGGGGAAAATTTCTTTACTGAAAGGGCTGTCCAACCCTGGCACAGCTGCCCATGGCAGTGGTGGAGTCCCCATCCCTGGGGGGATTAAAAATCTGTATGGWTATGGCACTTGGTGGCCAGTGGTAGCCTGGGCAGTGTGCGGGGCATAGCTGGACTGGCTGGTCTTGCAGAGCTTTTCCAGCCGAAATGATTCTGTGGTTCTAAATAGGTTCAAACTGCCCAGAGCTCTGTCTCCTGCAATGACACAACAGTTCCAGGCCAGGGGTCCCGAGGTGTGACAAGGGTTGGGACAATGGGGACAAGGCAGTCTCGGAGCCTTCCCATCCTCCCTGTGCTGCCTGCACCCACCCCGTGGCCAAACTCAGCAATTTGTAACACAACTGTTTCCCCAACATTGTGTTCTTTCTTTTAGCTACTGCCTACCATAGGCTCTGCAAAGCTTTGACCACCTGTGTTGTGGTAATGGTGAAAGGTAACCAATTCYTGTGTCCAAGCAGGGGTCCAGGGTCACCACAAGGGAGTCGTAGCCTGTTTGTTGCCTGCAAGTTCATGGCTGGAAATCAACCAGAAMCCCATGGCCATCCTGTCTGCAGWGACCCGTGCAGTAATGCCCAGCAARYTCCTTGGGATCATTCAGCCTGGAAAAGAGAAGTTTGCATGGAGACCCCACAGCACCTTCCAGTAGCCAAAAGGGCCCACAAGAGAGCCAGAGAGGGACTCTCTGTCAGGGGCTGTAGTGACAGGGCAAGGGGAAATGGGTAGAAATTGAATGAGGGGAAGTTTAGGTTAGATTTTAGAAATTCTTTACTGTGAGGATGGTGATATATTGGGATTGATTGCCAAACGAGGTTGTGGATTTCCCAACCCTGGAAGTGCTCAAAGCCAGCTTGAATGGGGGTTTAGGCAGCCTGGTCTAGTGGAAAATATCCCTGCCCAGGGCAGTGAGGGTCAGGACTTGATGAGCTTTAAGGTCACTTCCAGCCTCTAAACAGTTTCTGGTTCTGTGAGTGGGAAGCCACAAAGTGGGAGCTTAGTGGGTTTTTTTGGGGTGAGAGGGTCAATTCCTGATTTGCTGTAAGTCTGTTGGAGATCCTCTGGTTTTGGTGTTTTTTTGCCTTTTCAATACTTTTCCTTGTAATATATCCTGTATCTCCACTGCAGGCCACACCCTTTACACCTGAGGTCACATCTCCCCAACACAGCAGTTGTCTCTCTAGAGTCATGCTCATCTTCTAGACTGAAAGGGTTTCTGYAGTGATGTAGGTGTTATGATTCAGCGTCTTGGGCACAGGTCCCATCTCAACAGGGTTGGTGTTCCCAGGAGYCAGGTGAGACACCTCACAATATTGAGCCCTTCTACAGAATGGTAGATGTGGACTCACAGAAATCTCCCTCATGCCTGCTTTGTGCTTGGATTTTCCCAGCTTAAAGCAGACATGGGGCTTGATTTTCTGGTGACATTTTCACCCGGTTCCAAACGTTTGAGATTCAGGCTGTCATGACATTAACAATGAAGTGAAATGGGAAAGATCCCCTGCTGCAGACAAAGCAGAGCATCTGAGAGATTGCCATCATGTTTTTGAAAGAGAAGGTATTGCAGTMATTTTGTGCCTGGAAACAGATACAGGCTATTCAGCCAGCACAGCACTTGCTTTGGAGGTTTCTCTGCATTCAGAGAGTAATTTTTTCTCCTATGAACAACAAGTTAATTAAGCTMAGTTTTCATATAGATTTGCGTCAGAGGTTCCCTTCACCTCTCCTCTGCACCAGATCCATTGCTCCCTCTCCTCCTATCTCCAAGGCTGATTCCTGATACATCCAAATCTCCCTTCTATGTCCCCAGCCTACTGGTGCTGGCCTTCTGTCTGGAGCAGCACATGCTGTGCCTGGTTCAGGGATGTGTGTGCTCTGCCTGACCAGCTGCCCTCCCGTTATCTGCTGCCAAGGAAGCCAAGCARTGCTGATAAGGGCTGAGCTCTCTCYGTCTTTCTCCCGGGCAGAGCACTTAACAACATGTGTCTTTTCTAATGCAGCCGCTGTTTGTCATGAAACCTGACAGACTTTGTATTTCCAGAAGCTCTACTTCTCTTTCAGGTGTGGTTGAAATCAGTCAGAAAGTTTGCAAACTAATGCTGGGGAGCCCTAACACACACACACACAGACATACACGCACACATACACATGCACGCACAAAAAAATCCAACATTTGAATAAACCTGTCTCTAGGAAAGGAAATGGTAAGCAGCAGGAGGAAGAAAGCAAATGGAAGAAGGCAGCATCAGGGCTGCAAATCCCAGAGTTACCTGAGAAGCAATGGAGAAGGCAGGCAGGATGTCCATCTGCTCTAGAAGGAGTTCACAGCCACACACCTGCACCTCCAAGAAGAGCATTGATTTAGATTAGATATTAGAAGTTTTTTATGATGACGGTGATGTAACATTGGCACAGGTTGTCCAGAGAGCTGGTGAATGCCCCATCCCTGGAAGTATTCAAGATCAGGTTTGACCGGGCTTTCAGACACCTGATTTCATTGAAGATATCCCTGCCTTTGGCAGGGGAGTTAGACTGGATGACCTTTAAAGGTCTCTTCCAAATCCAAACTATTCTATAATTCTGTGAAGTAGTACTTGATTTAGTAAAACAAACTGCAAAATCCAATCCCTGACACCGAAGCTGGATATTGCTGTCCTGTTAATTGATCATGGAATCCGGAGTGGTTTGGGTTGAAAGGCTGGAAGTTCATCTCATTCCAGCCCTCTCCCATGGGCAGGGACTCCTTCCACTGTCCCACATTGCTCCAAGCCCCATCCAGCCTGGCCTTGGATACTTGCAGGGATGTGGAGCCACGGCTTCTCTGGGCAGCTGAGCCAGGGCTTCATCACCCTTAAAGTAAAGAATTTCTGCCTAAAATCTAATATAAAACTTCAATTTTCAACTTAAAATAATTTCCGTTTGTTCTTTCACTATCTGCTGTGTAAAAAGTGGCTCTCCATCTCTCTTACAGCTCCCCTTCAGTACTGAGCCCTCAGTGAGCACTCCCTGGAGCCTTCTCTTGTCCAGGTGAGCACCCCCAGCTCTCCCAGCCTGGCTTCAGGGCAGAGGGCCTCCAGCCCTGGCAGGATCTCTGTGGCTTGCTCTGGACACACTCCAGGTCCATGTGTTTTTCAAACCACACAGCTYAGCACATTTTGGACATTTGCAGTTAGATGCAAATGGCTGTCAGTCCCATTTGGATTTGAGGCTGMAGTACAAGAGCATGAGCATCTCCCACAAGGTCTCTGAATGTGTGTGTGGGGTTCAGCATCCTCACAGAGGGTGTTCATGTGCAGAGACAGCAACAGCTCACTGGTATCTGTCATCTGTCTGCTAGAAAGAACAAAGGAGGTTGAGCAACKTGGTCTGGTGGAAGATGTCCCTGCCCATGGAACAAGATGATCTGCAAGGTCCCTTCAAACCCAAACCAYGAAGTGATTGTGTGAAATAACCTAGAGCCTAAAAAAACATGATGAAGTGGTAGGTGACTGTGCTATTCTASAGAGGATACAGGTTCTCTTCCCAAAGCCTGTGACCAAATCCTGTAAGAGGTGAAAGAAATACAGTATCATTATCAGATAACTTCAAAGACACCTAGGAATTCTGAGTGACCCAACACTAGCAGGTGTCACTGTGTGGAGGTGGAAACAAGTGCAAAGTGCAATGCCTGGAAGGTCTTGGAGGCAGAGCAGATAGTTTTTGTGTTGAAGTCATTATTACCAACATGCCAAAATGATGTGTTAAACTGAAAAAAATGGAAGAGCTTTGAGCAGAGTTGTGATACATTAAGATCAGCCAGCATATTCAAAACAGGAAACAATATAAGGCTGGGGGAATCCTCACTCTGGTATGCAGCTAACTGCTGAGAGAAGGTCAGCCACTAATTTCTGCTCTCTGGTGACTGGGAACAGAACCCAAGGAAACAGCTGGAGCTGTGCCAGGAGTGGGTTAAGTGGGATATCAGAAAAAGGTTCTTCCTCCGGAGGGTGGAGGGGCACTGACCAGGTTCCCAGGGAATGAGCATGGCCCCAAGGCCACCAGAGCTCCAGGAGCATTGGGACAGTGCTCYCAGGGATGCACAGGGTGGGWYTGTTGGGGTGTCTGTGGAGGGACAAGAGCTGCACTCATGATCCTGGTGGTTCCCATCCAAGTCAGGA